TATGTTACATGTAAATAATGCATCTGATTATGGTGTTTCTTTAAAGTCTTTGAAGGATTCAGTCGTGTTGATGTTACCGGTTTCGTCAGCATTTGTTAATGAGGGTGATGGAGCGAATGTAGTTCCGATTCGGTCCCCCAACTTGTTTTGGTTAGGGATGCCTAAGTTGATACATTCAATGTTGAATACAGATGAGAAGCGGGAGAAGATGAGTGATGTAATGTGGCAAGCTTATAGTGATGAGCTTTACAGAAGTAAGCTGCTTCGACAATCTGGTGGCCCGCTGTTTTTGCTGGATATTCATTCCTTGAGTAATAACTGCGGAGCTCATTGCACGGATGATGGAATGCATTATCACGGGGCTGTCTATGAAGCCGCTGTACATATCATGTTAAATGGATTACTTATAGAATCTAACCAGAAGCTATGATGGAGCAGTTATGGTTTTCTGTTGACTAAGTAACGCTGCGACACCCTTCCGCAATGGGAAAGGGCAATATGGTAATTGCGAGAGCTCGTACTTCAATATCATCGGTGAATATTTTTTTCCCCACGTCTTCTTTTGGCAACTGATATTTCAATAGAAAGAATTCTTTGATGGTAGTTCATATTCATTTCCCCTTGTTCAATTGTATGATTACTGATACTCACACGAATTGTATTCTAGAGCAGGAGAAACCACTCATATTCATATCCGATTTTGATGTGATCATGTGGACATATGTAGAACAAATCAAAGTTTCTGAAACATGTGCAATAGTTTGAATATCCAATTAAATGATTGCACATCTATATGGTCTTTTACTTGCTTTCGTGTCGAGTTAATCTAATCTCTCCTTTTTCGTTTTTTGGAATGGTAAGTTAATCTAATCTCTAGTTAGATGTAATACGATAATGGACACTGTCTTTTTCTTGCCTCTCCATTTAAATTAGAAAGATCGATGGAGTAGATACTTCAAACACTTACTATTTCAGTCCAAAGCGATTGTTTTGTTGTCAAGAAGTCTAGGATCGTATTCTACTGGAAATATAAGCTGAAATTTAAGAGCTACATTTATTTTATACTTTGGGTAGTTTAGAGATGCCACATCAGTTACTCTGTGTGTGTGTGTGTGGGGGGG